AAACACAAATAAACACATCACATCATGAAACACAAATAAACACATCATAGAACACATATAAACAAATAAACACATAGATGTCAACACACACATCATAAACACATATGAACACATCATATCATGAACACAAATAAACACATCATACACAAACAGCAAAACAACCCATTTTACTCAGACTTCAACCCGACAGCCCATACTCTCTCACAATCCTACATCGAACAACATGCCCCCCCCCCACCCACCCCCCCCAACAACATAAACAACTGCAGAACCCCAGTGTTATGCCCCGACCTTCAGCCACTTCAGGAGCCACTGGTCGGCGTGTTGGCGAGGCTGCTGGCGTCGAGGGGAGATAGGGAGCTGAAGAAGGTCTCTCGTGGAGATATGCTCATCCCACGTCAGGTGCCGAGTAGAAGGGAGGGGGTGCGATCGCTGTCTCTGTCTGTCTGTCTGTCTGTCTCTTTGATAGTTTGTGTGTTTGTTTGTTTGTACGTGTGTGTGTGCGCGTGTGTGTAGAGATTGTATGTTTGTACGTGTGTGTGTAGGGATTATACGGACGTGAGAAAGCAGACGAGTTAAAATTTTAAACGGGTTGATAGAGAAAATATAGAGAAATTAACTAAAAAAAAAAAAACAAATTTGAAAGGGACTGCGACACGGACTTAAAAGACACCGAGGAGGGGAGGGGGAGGGGGGGGGGGGCAGCAGCAGCCTCCCGCGCGGTGCAAACGAGGTCGCCATGGACGTGGGAGTCGCTGGAGTTGCCATGGCCGCGAGGTACCGACGCCGCACGGAACGAAAGACTACAGTTATGCGCAACACGAGTGAATTTGAATATTGAATTTTGCATTTTTACCGAACCGGCACCAAACCCAGGAAAGGTTGTGAATCTCAAAAAAAAAAAAAAAAAAAAAAAAAAACGCGGACTTTTACGTGTGTTTTCCCGCGCGATTTGGAGATAATTTCGTACAATAAGTAGTGACGACTTTCGTTAATTATCTTGTATGGCAATTGTGACTGATATCCACTATTTTTTTCCTTTCCAGGTAAGCGAGGAAGAAACACACTCCCTCCAGAAGAGAGAAATGTAAGTAAAAGCTAAAGATAGAACGAGTAAGTGACAAGGCTGGTATCATTTGTCACAAGTTACACCTCAGGTCATTTTCGTCCGTCGCCTCCCACAACCTTTCCCCTCCCCCCCCTCCCCCTCCACAACCTCTCCCTCTCCCATTCCCCTCACTTCCGGCAGTCACGTGACAGGGCTGACTTCCGCTTCTCGCATCTTCTTCCTTACATTCAGTGCCCAAAGTGTCCAGTATCATTACCTTCCACATCTTAACAATTCCCATAAATCATCATCATTATCATGATCTATTATCACTTGCCGTAGAAGTAGTAGTAGTAGTCGTTGTTAAAGGCAGTAGGGAAGTATTAGCATTTAGATCGCGTATTAGGGACTGTCATTGATATTATTACTATTATTAACATTATTTTCATTATCATCATTATCATCATCATCTTTATTATTATCATTATTATTATTATTATTATTGTTATTGTTTTGTTGTTATTATTATTATTATCCTTATTATTATTATTACTATTAATTTATATCATCATCCTCATCATTAGTACTAGCAGTAGTACTGTTATTTTTTTATTATCACTATCATCATTATCATTGTCATAATTATTATCGTTATATCTATCATCATCATCATCATCATATAATTAGTGTTTTATTAGACATTGTTTCCGTCCCAGGCACACTTTTTCCTGTAAACCAGTGTGTATTTTTTACTTTTGGCAACAACTATGTAGAAGTGTGTCAGCAATATAAACTCTCTCTCTCTCTCTCTCTCTCTCTTCTTCTCTCCTCTCTCTCTCTCTCTCTCTCTCTCTCTCTCTCCTCTCTCTCTCTCTCTCTCTCTCTCTCTCTCTCTCTCTTCTCCCTCTCTCTCTCTCTCTCGCTCGCTCTCACTTTCTCTCTCTCTCTTTTTCTCTGTTTATCTCACCATCGGCCCATCCCTCACACTCTTTCTCTCACCTCTTTTTTTTCCTCTCTCCTTCTCTTCCCTCTCCCTCACTCACTCTCCTCTTTCTTTCTTTCTCCGTCTCTTGCTTCTCCTTCTCCCTCCTGCTCTCTCTCTCTCCTCTCTCTCTCTCTCTCTCTCTCTCTCTCTCTCTCTCTCTCTCTCTCTCTCTCTCTCTCTCTCTCTCTCTCTCTCTCTCTCTCTCTCTCTCTCTCTCTCTCTCTCTCCCTCTCTCCTCTCTCTCCCCTCTCTCCCTCTCTCCCTCTCCCTCTCCCTCTCCCTCTCTCTCCCTCTCCCTCTCCTCTCTCCCTCTCCCCTCCTTCTCCTCTCTCTCCGCTCCCTCTCCTCTCCCTCTCCTTCTCCTCTCCCTCTCTTCTCTTTCTCCCTCTCCTTCTTCCTCTCCCTTTTCCTCTTTTCTTCCCTCCCTTCACTTACCTCTTTCTCTCTTTATCTCTCTTCACCCACCA